AAGCAGGGGATAAGTGCATCTTTGTTCTTAATCCACTGCTACATAAAAACTGAAACAAACAAAAACACAGAACTTCATTGTGCTCAGATAACTTGACTGACTTCACTGAAGACCAGTGATTCTCAGGAAAATGTATTCAATTCTCAAGCCTTGGTGAGCAGATGCTCAATGGGGCAGAAGTCCCAGCATGCTTTAGTTTTCTTTGAGCTTCAATCTGGAAGTTTTGCCCCGTAATGCTTCACAATGGTACTCTCAGTTCTAGAAGGGTCATTGTTGATTTTCATTTAAACAAAAATAGTTTTATTACCTCACAAGGGTACTGATTGAATGAATCAAGATTTATGCTAGATGTTTTGGGTCCAAGTTTATTATATTTTTACTATCTTGTTCTGAAAAAATTATCTAGCCTCACTGAAAGTAATCACCACAATACAGCAAATAGATGATACCCAGCTCCCCAAAAGATTCAGCTACAAAATATAAATTTGGCTTACCATGGCTTTCATGAACATGTACCTTTAAGGGGCTTCCCTAAAATTAGACTCTTGGTTGATCGTGATGCCCAGACTGCTGGGCTGCTGCCCAAGGCTCTCTGTGGCTCACTGACCATGTGCAGGCAGAGATCTGAGAGTCTGGAGGTTGAGGCTGGGCTCACTTTCTTCTGAATGGACAATTGGCTGAAGCTACCACCTCTCCATCCTGTGATTCTCCTCTAGGGCCAAATGCTGTGAGATCTCAGGGATCTGAGAACCCAGGAATGGGTTTGAGGTGTCTTTCATTCTGCATTATCTCTTTCTTACTGAGAACTGTGATGGGACTTTCTTCCTCATAAACAATTCAGTAGCACCTCTCAGGCCAAAGGACAGCTTCAGTGTATTTTTTTTTTTAAAGCAAGAGCCACAACCAGTGTCATTTAAGCCCACAGAGGGTTTAAGTGGGGCGGCCTGAGCTTGAAGAAGTTTGCCGTTTTGTGAAGACTTTCTCAAGTCTCCTCCTATAGGTCAGGTCTGAAGGAGTCTGTCTCCTAGCGGGGGAGGTAATTAGTAATGAGCCTAGTCATCGGGCCTTTCTGCAGACCCTGTTGACACACGAGGAAAGAGGAGGATGGAACAATAGGCCTGCTGCCTGTATCTCTGTTGTGTTAGTGGGATGGAAGATGAGCTTCAAAGCTTAAAATGTTTCAAAGCCCTGAATCAAGCTGAGCCTCCTCCTGGCGGCCCACTGAGAGGCTGTTACTGAGAGCAGTGCAGCTGATGCTTTTTGTTTTAGCGGGAGGGGTGCTGGAGTCCTGCTATTTTGTGTAAGGACTTCTTTTCCAGTGGTGTCCTCTTTACCAAAAGCCACCTGTCGTAGGACAGCATTTATGTGAAATGTCTCAGATAGGCAAATCTGTAGATTGCAAGTAGACTGGCAGGTGTGAGAGTGTGGGGGAGAGGCCTAGAAGCAACTACTATTGCATAGGGCTTCTTTTGGGGGGTGATGAAAGCCTCCAAGGTTAGATGTTGGGGAAGGATGAGCAGCATAGCAAATATACTAAAAATATGACACTATACTCACTTTAAAACGGTGAAGTTTATGTTGTATGAATTGTATCTGAAGGGAAAAATGATATAGTACTGTTATAGTGACAGTATATGATATAGTACTGTTATAAATGATATAGTACTGTTATAGTGACACTGGGGTGGCTGGTCCTGCAATCCTCTAGATGACAATAGGGAAGCTCTTGCGGATTCCAGATTCCACTCTCAGGGTCTGACACATTCACCGTGTCTTCCCAAGGAAGGTGCTGTTATTAAGCCTCACTTTGCAGATGAGGGGACCAAGGCCCAGGGACTTCCTGAGACTCACTCACATTCACACACAGAGCATGGCAGGACCTGGCTCCTCACCAGGCAGTCTGTTTCTGGAGTCTCTTTGTGGGTCCCAGAGTTATGCCTTCTGGATTCTAGCAAGGACACTGCAGGGAAATATTGAAAAGGCAATCTGGAAAGATCATGTGAGTGTAGGAGTTCAGGGTGGCCCAATTTGCGTGTTGGCATAGGCTCGGTCTGCAGCAGAGGTTATCGGCACAAAGATTAGGCCTCCCGGTTGTTGAGCTAACGCTGTTGCTGACGTCAACTGGTGCCAACACCTGTTTGTTTAGAACAGGGCCCACAGGCATCTCTTGTTGTGGATTGGACTGCAGGGCACACCCCAGCCTGTCCTGGAAATATTAGGAGAAGTCCCTCCAATGGGCAGAATGGAGGCGGCTTGGCACTTACATAACTTTGGCAGCTGTCTCAGTGCACTGTGACCTTGGGAGTTAATGTGTACACACACTATTCAAGTTAAGCTCTCCGTAAGAAATCAATAGTAAAGCCACTTTGTATATTGTTTCATGTTTTAAAGTCAGATGTGTTGAATGAAAGAAATGAGTCACTTTGAAGATCTTAAATTACTTCATTTTGAGTCAATAATCCCTAGAAACAATAATCTGTTTTTCATTGTGTTGAATACTTCAACCTCTATGATTTCCAATGTCCTCATTTATCTTTAGACAGACTTGTGTGTACTTTTTCTAAGAAGGGAAGGGTGGATGTATGTTTGACACCCCAAGCTCTGAGCCGTGTAGACTGATCTCTGAGTTACAGTGGTGGAGGAAGCTTTGCCTGGGTTCACAGCCATCTGGCACCTTGATGGCTGTGTCTTTGGAAAAGTCACTTAGTCTATTGGCCCTCTGTTTTCTGAGTATAAAATGTAAACAATCCCAGCATCTACTTCATAGGGTTGGTGTAAAGTTTAAGTGGAAGGATAGAAGGACAGAATTTCAGTTTTAATACCTTGCTCTACTTATTTTCAGTTCTAAAATAAAGCAGCAATTTATTCCATAGCATAAGATACATGTTTCTGTGGGCTGAGCAGGGGAGCCTGGTATTTCTGCCTGAAAAAAGCAGAAACAAAGAACCAAAAGCAGATTCGTCATTCAAAATTATTTTCTTCAGTGGTGGGGACAGAACAATATGAGAAAACCTGACTAGTTTGTAGCAAGTGACTTCAGTTTCCTAAGGTGACCTGTTCAGGCCATTTAGCTGTTCTCTCTCTAGGCTTAATTTCACAAGAAGGTGAGAAATCACCTTCGTTAATTTTGACTTGGTGATGCGGAAATAGAGCATGAAAGACTCCATTTTGATTTCTCTTCCAGTCTCTTAGGACCTGAGGCAGAAATTTGCTCCAAATTAATGGCCTTCTATGTCTGTTTAACAATCTAATGAGCAAATCTCTTGGAGAGAGGCTGGTACCAAATACACATTTTACCTGTTCATATTTAATATTTTAATCTGATAAATGAACTATTAAAATGGAAACAGTTGGGCATATGTGTGGGCCGACCTCGTTCTCCTCAGAGCATGTCTATTCATGGCTTTGTGTGGTTCTAATTTGGTCCCATTTGATACATGGGTAATGTACAAAGATAGGTATCGATTCAAGATGGCATAAGGAAGTAATGGCTTAGCTAGCTCTAGAACTCACTTCTCCTTCTTAAACCTGTTTTATTCATTCTTGAAAATAACCTTTCAATGTAATTTCTCATTAATTTCTAAGTGAGAAATTTTTTAAAACAGAGAGTGTGGGTCAGCAGTCACCAGTACTTAAAAGTCACCCAGTGGAGGTACAATCATGGAGGGTTGAGACCTGAGTTCATGGTGTCAGATTCTTGGTGGTTTCACAGCTGCTTGGGAAAGCCTGTGTTCAGGTAGTGTTTGTTCATGATAACAGAGTGTTAGAGTTAGGAAGTGTGTTAGGGATGGTCAGCTTTGCTTATCTTTTCATTTCCTGATTTGGGGAACATTTTCAGAGAGCTCTATGGCTTTATTTGATTTCTAGACAAGTCAACATAAAACCTGGGAATCTAACTTCCTGGTCTAGCTCCAGTTGGGTGCCTCTCCTTTGTAATGGGTCACTCTCACAGGTAGAACAGCACACTAAGAGTGTTACCATGCCTTCAATGGGACCAGCAACAGCTTCCTCAGCAGCCTCCCTGTGTAGGCCTCTCTAGCCTCCTTCTGTACCACACCATGGTGGCCCCTCCAGATGAGGGCTGGAGCAAGCAAGGGTCTGCCTGCAATGTTTTAGAAAGTCTGGGGGGCATAAGAGGGCACATTGGTCCTCTATTCCTGGAGGCACAGCATAGCCTGCTCTGCTTCTGCATCCAGCTCTCTATGGCCTACTTTCCGTCATCTATAAGCAGATTTTGTAAATCATTAACTTCTCTGTGAATCACTTTTTCCACTTGTAAAAAGATATAGTTCTGCATGCTTTGTAGAAATTTTGAAAATGAAATGAGCTCATAAGGGTATCTGACTGGGTATAGTGTCTGGCATATGACTATAATTGGTATAATCGATATTTTAGAACTGTTCTTGCATTCATCTGAGTGTGAATGGAAACCCTTGGAGTTGAGCACAAGATGTTCATTATGGAATTCAAATCCCTTAGTCTGTGTCCAGCTTCTGGTTCCCACATCTTCAGTCCTTAGTATCATTCTCAAGTGAAGATTTTGTGCTCCCCTTTATGCAGAATCCCTAGCAGAACTAGTTGGTTTCTTTCTGATAGGGGGTATGATAAAAGACATACATTATTCTCATCTAGGATGCTAATGAGAGTTGCATGTATTGAAAAGAAGTGTCCACATGTGGTGAGGCAGAGGCCCCTGGGTTCAGGGGAAGAAGGATGCCATTGTCTCGGGTTACATCCTTCCCTGTGCACCCAAAGCAGTGTCAGGAAGGGGCATCCTGATGCTTTGTCCCATGACTGATGTGCAGGCCCTGCTGAAGTCTCTGCACTGTCTTGCCAGGCTCCTCTACCTACATCATCACCTGAATATTAAGCCGTAGGGGCTCAGCTCAGGAAGTCACAGTGCTTTCCTACCCGGTGGCATGGCCACTTGCTTGCCTCTGTCTCCTGCTGTCTTCCGTGTACCCTGTGGGTTGAGCTATTTTACCTGAATCTCTTTTCAGGTGAATCACTGATGAAACTTCTAAGCCTGGGGAACAGCATCGATTGTGGAACAGAGGATGAGACTTGTCCAGTTCTCCAGAATCAGGAGACAGAGTTGGCCAGGCCACACATCTCACACCTGTCCTCGCGCTTGGTGAGGCCGTGACTCTGTGCTCCCTTCATTACCCTGTGCTGCTCGTGCCCATTCCTACTGACCGGGTGCAGGGCATTGTTCGCCAGGCTTGTGACACCCAAGGCCCCTCCATGAAAGGACGCACCAGTGCTGTTCCATAGAAACTTTGTAAAACTGTAAGTCACATATGTTATCTTAAATACTCTTGTAGCTACCTAAACAAGTAAAAAAAAAGTGAAATTAAGTTTGAGAATGTTTTATTTAACCCAGTTTACCCAATTATCAATTTTACATGTAATCAATTAAAAAAAGAGAGATGTTTTATATCCTCCCCCGTTCCCCAATTTTTAAAATATAATGGGTATTTTGTATTTATAGAGCATCTTCGCTTCGACCAACCACATTGGGGATGCTCAGTTGCTACACAGGATTCATCACTATAGTAACAAGCAGGGTAGTATTATGCCATTAATATTCTAGAATTGGATAAACAAGTTTTCTGGAAAATTGCCATTAAAAGTCTTGTTTTAACACATTAGTAAATTATAACAATTTTCCAATAGAACAAAGGGTCTGGAGGAAGTGGTATCTTTTTGTAATGCATACAAAGATGCTGTCCTAGCTCAGAGGTGGCCTCGTTACCACTGGGCTTTTGTGTGCACTGTTCCTTCTCTCTAAAAGTCCATCTTTCCCCACCCCCTGATCATTCAACCATGGTTCATGTTTCCATTAGTGTTGCACTGTCTATGGGGTGTGAATTCTGTTCTCCTACAACACCCCATTTCTTTGTTTCCTAGAATTTATTTGGACTTCTAATAATATATTTATGGGTAAAATGATTTGATTCAATTCTGTCTCCAATACAGCACAGCCAGTTCTGAAAGGACTGATTTATATCTGGTTTTGTTTGTCACTGAATTCCTAGTTGAGAGCGTAGAACTTGGAGTGTAAAAGGATCCTGCACTGAAAAGGGCTGGCTGGCCACATGGGTCAGAGTCAACCAGCCCATGCAATTTGAGTGGGTGAGATACCCACGTTCTCATGGCCCTGGATACAGACACTTACACTCTGCCACTGGAATCAGGCCTTCTGGTCTTCCCTTCTAGTCACTCCAGGGAGGAAAGCTATGTGTCCCCTCCAACTACTGAAGGGTATTTCCTGGCCAAAACCTACTACTTTGTCTGACCAGCATCCCCGGTGGTTGTTCCCTAATGCAGCCACTGTTTTTCCCTACAGAGCAGAGGCCTAGAGTTTTATCTTTGGCTCATTCAGGTGGTTTATTTATTTATTTTAACAATTGTGATGGGAGACCTTAATACCCTATTGTCACAAACAGATAGATCAGCTAGACAAAAAATCAGCAAAGAAATAGCAGAACTGAACCAAACCTCTGAACAAATGAACTTAGTAGATGCTTACAGAGTGTTCCACCCAGTCACGTCAGAATACACATTCTTCCCAGCTCACACAGGATGGTCTCTAATACGCCAGCCTATAGAACATGCTTAAGTAAATACAAAGCAAATGAAATTATCGCATGCATTTTATCTGACCATAGTGCAATAAAATTAGAAATCAATGAAATTAAGTAACACCCTTCTGAACAACCAATGGATCATAGATGAAACTGAACAATATCTACAATCAAATGACAATGTGAATACAACTTACTGGAATCTTTGGGATAAAATGAAAGCAGTCTTAAGAAGGAAATATATAGTGGAAGGAATTATCACATCAGGAAAACAGAATGAGCACAAATAACCTAATACAGCACCTCAAGCTTCTAGAAAACTAAGAGCAAGTCAACCCCAAAGCCCACACAAGAGAGGAAATCATAAAGATCAAAGAAGAGATTAATGCAATTAAAACTAAGAAAACAATACAAATAATCAATTAAAGATTTGGTTTTTTGAAAGAATAAACATGATTGATAAACCCCTAGCAAACTTAAAAAGAAAAGTAAAGAAAAAATTCAAATCCATGCAGTAAGGAATGAAAAAAATGAAATCACTCCAGACGCTGTGGAAATTCAGAAGATCATCAATACCTACTTCAAAATCTTTACGTGCAGAGGTTGGAAAACACAGAAAAAATGAGCAGATTCCTAGAAAAGCACAAACTACCAAAGCTGAACCAAGAGGTAAAAATTCTAAATCACCCAATGTCAGTTAATGACATTGAAAATATAATTAAAAACTTACCAATGAAAAAAACCCACATCCTTATGGATTCTCTACTGAATTCTGTAAGAAATTTAGAGTAGTTTAATGCTAAACTCTTTAATGAAATTGAAAGGGAAGCAATTCTTCTTACATCATTCCTGGATAAAAGTATTACTCTGATACCAAAACAAGAAAAGGTCCCAACCAAAATAGAGCATTGCAGGCTAATCTCCCTAATGAACATAGATGCAAAAATTCTAAATAAAATACTAGCAAACGATGCAGCAAATCATCAAAAAGATTATACATTATGACCAAGCAGGATTCATTCCAGGAAAGCAGGAATAGTTCAACATACACAAATCAATAAACATAATATACCATATCAGCAGAGCCAAAGACAAAAATCACATGATCATACTAATAGATGCAAAAAAATCTTTTGATAAAGTACAACACTCATTCATGATAAAAACCCTGAAGAAAATTGGAACGATGGTCTTTACCTCAATCTGATAAACACCATCTATGACAAACCAACAACCAATATCATGTCCATAAGTGGACAAAAACTGAAAGCTTTCACTCCGAATTCAGGAACAAGACAAAGATGTCCACATCACCACCCCTATTGAATAAAGTTCTGGAAATGCTAGCCAGAGCAATTAGATAAGAGAGAGAAATAAAAGGGATAAGGATAGGAAAAGAAGAAGTTAAATTATCACTATTTGCAGATGACATGGTACTCTACATAGAAGTCTCCAAAAACTCCACCAAAAGACTTTTAGGAGATTTATTCTTTAATGGTCACTTTCAAATAAACACATTTTGCAAGTATGTGTGTTGGTGATACAAGAAGCTAGATACTCAGGCAATAAAATACAGCTGTTTTAAACATACAGAATTGTATAAGTTCTTATCTGAAGCCTGGGAGCTGGCAGGCTGAGAAATTTACTCAGTTGGGTCATACATGGTCTTCTCCTTTCCTGTCTCCTGTGTTGCTATCAATAAATAAAATCCACATTTGGGATAGTTATAAACCAACACTATGTCATGGACACAAGACAAAATTCTTTGTTAACCTGTGAACCTTGATTATATGTCTGTGGTATTAAGCACAATGGTCAAGATTCAGAACTTTAATGCCATCTGGCTACCTGATTTCAACTCCATGCTCTGTCACACTAGCTGTGTGACTTTGGAGAAGTTGCTTAAATCTTCTGGAGCTCAATTTGCCCTTCTGTAAAAAGAATGATTAAAAGAAGAATCGATAAGTATGCTCTGAAGCTTCAAAGAGTTACTGACTATACAGCATTTGTACAGTGTGTGGTACATAGGGCAATTTGCCCCTAGAAGTTATATTTATTTTTGATTGTACCCATGTGACACAGAAGAGTTAGCTGAGAATGGACACTCAGGTAATCATTACTCAGACCCAACCTACACAATTAAAAGAGAAACAAAATTCAGAACTCATTAACCTTTTGATTGTTCCTTGAATCCTTCTTACTAAGAACTAATTAAAAAATACTTCAGCAAAGAAGACTTTCAATGCATAAAATAAAAATAGAACTGATGGTTTCAGAACATTGAAGCAGCTGTCACTGAGGTCTTTTCCTATCTCAGAATCTGCCTCTCGTAGCAGAAAGGAAAAAGAGTTAAGAGATATTAAAGGTAAGAGAAATACTTCCTCACATGCAGTGCTCAGATAAGCCAGTTCATTCTAATGGGACTCTTCTGAGCTTTGTGGGTAATTTAGCTCACGTAGGGAGGTAGAGAAAAGCTAGGAAACCCTTTCATTCACAAGGCGGGAGAAAAAGGATGTCCCGCATACATGGAAAGGAACTGGATCAGTGATGTGGCTAGAATGTATAAGCCAGAGTTTAACTTAATTTCACTTAGTCATACAACCCCTTTTATCTGTTTGCTTAATACCAGGCACTGTGCTAGGCACCAAGTATAGACAGTGGAAATAGATCGATAGTTGTTAGTGAGCTCACATGGGAATGGGAAGACAGACAAAAACCAATAAAGGTATATGGAACAGATTAGGTAGAAAAAAAAATGAAAATGATAAAGATACAAGGGGGCTGTTTTAGAAAACGTAATATGGCAGTCTTCTCAGATAATGTCACAAATTAACTTTATATTTTAAATCTCATCCTTTGTGCAACTTATTTAATACACCTTAATTGAGCACTAAATGTGTGCTAGGTTCTATGCTAAGAGGTGGAAAAATAGTATTGAACAAAATTGACCAAGTTCCTTCCTTTTACAGAACTTTCATTCTTAAGAAGAAGGGAAAGCACATGTTTCCTTACTGGGACTGCTGAAGTGCAGGATGAATTCCTTGTAGCCATCTTTGAAACTGACTCCAAGTCTTTAAAGAAGAGGGTGTGGTAAGATATTTTGTCCTTGTGTTATGATTACATGACCACCTATTAACCTCCTCCTGTAGACCCTCGGTACCTACTTTCCCATATATATGTCCATAGCTTGAGGCAACAGTAAGTAATATGCATTTGTTTTCCTTATCTGTGAGGCACCAGACTCTGATTATTAGCTTTCCAGCAGCTCTGCCTTCATATTTCCAGGTTCTGAAACTCAGCACCAAAAATGAAGCTCTTATTTCCCTTCAATTAGGTTCTGTTGCTATGTGTGCTGTCTTCATTAGGAGCTTTCCTGCTTTAGTCACTGAAGTCAGACGTCTTAGGATCATCACCAAGTTTTTATTTACTTATTTTTGTATTTTACTATTTTGATGTGGCTCAGTCCTATTGGCTCTGTTTCTCTGTCCCCAGAACTTGTCCTCTCCTCACTGTGGCCTGCCTGTCTCAGGTCTGCCTTCACTGAACGTCTTGTTCTAGTTTTTAATGTCATCCTCGACAAAGCTAACAGAGATCTTAAGATGCGAATCTGATCACTTACACTCTGTTACTGAAAACTCTCCCAGGGTGTTCAGTGAACTACTGCAGATTAGCACTTCCTGGTGTGGTGCACAGTGCCGCTCAGTCTGGCTCCAACTCATCTCGTTCAGTTCCACGTGGCAGCACCAGCCACAGTCCTCCTTGTCATCGGGCTCTCAAATGGTGCCAAATGCCTTGAATCATGGCTTCATTTATATGACACTTACATAATTTTCACAAAACTCTCATCAGGTAGATAGTATTATTACATCCACTTTGTAGAAGGTATAGTGTCCCCAGGGTGACACAGGCAAGGAACTGAGATTTGAAAATGTCTGTCTTTTTGAGTGTGAGTTTATAATAATGTTGTCTTAAATAATGTCCATTTCATTCAATTGTGACAAACTTCTTTACCTCCATGACATTTGCCTGTAGTGTCGCCTGCAACTAGCTGTACCTCCCTCCAGCTTTTCAAAACATTCTTTAGACAGAAGATTGCCCCCAAGGGATACACAGTTCTCCTGAACTACCACCAGACCCCAGATCTTGTCTGTTGCATCTCCTGGAGTTCCTCTGAGAGGGAAGTGTACTTTATTATTTGTGCTACTCCAGTGCCTAAGATAGCACCTAAACAGGGCAGGTACTTAGCAAATGCTTGTGATGTAAATAAAGCCATGTATGAATGCACATACAACTTTGGGAATGGGATCAAGGATTAGTCTATCCATCAGTTGTAAGTCTTTCATATGCTGACCTCCTTCCCTGGAATTCCGCAGCACATACATTCTAAACTAAACATGCATTCATGTATTCTCGTATCCATTCATTCTTCCAGGATGCACTGAATTCTATTTAATCCTGCCTAAATTCTATGTGCAAAAATGAAGCACAGGAATCACTGTCCCCACAGACCTCACTGAGCAAGAGAGTGAAGGAAACTGTCATGCATATTCTCATTGTAATTCAAAAAACAAATTACTCTTTGGAAAACCTTCCTGTGATTGTTTATTTTTTTCTTTTATTAGATTGACATGAGTCTTGAAGGATGGGGTAGAAGTCAAACAGAAAATGCAGAAGGGGAAATAATTTCAAGATTATTCAAATTGAAATAATTCCAAATTGTTGAAATTGGTGTTTGAAGCAGCAAGAACTCAATTGACTATGAGGCAATGAAATATGTGTTTTAACAGAAGCTTACATGGTGGGTTGAATAAAAAGAAAGGAGTTTATACTCACTTTAAGGACACCATCAAGGAATTTATAGGAGGATAACAGTTGCTGATGTGAAATGTGACAGTTATCAGAATCAAATTGGAGCTGTGTCAAGGATTGCTGTACCTGATTGTCTGATAACTACCACAGAGACTCTGCCAGAACCACAATACTGTACAGAGGTCACTGCAACCTCTGGCATTCAGCAAAGAGTCCTTCTACAAGGGCAACTTCCCAGCAACTATCTGGCCAACCTTGAAATGATTCCACTCTGCGGTATCACTGAGGCCAAGGGAAACTGTTTGACAGTATCTGTGGTAGTCCTCCTCCTCTTGTCCTTGGATATATCCCCTTGTCTCAACCCCTCTGACTAGGCCCCTCGGTTACTGTGTCATGCATGTTCTCATTGCAGTGCAAAAAACAAATTACTCTTTGGAAAATCTTCCTGTGATTGTTTCTTTTTTTTTTTTTTTATTAGATTGACATGAGTCTTGAAGGATGGGGTAGAAGTCAAACAGAAAATGTGGGAGGGGAAATAATCCCAAGATTGTTCAAACTGAAATAATTCCAAATTGTTGAGACTGGTGTTGGAAGCAGTGCCAGGGCACAGAGGTGCATGGGTTTGTGCGATTCTGGAGGAGGGCAGGCGGACGCAGAGGCAGCCTGGCCCAGAGCAACACAGATTTCAGATGCCCGGAGGAATGTAGACTCTGTAAATCCTGGGGCATCAGTGGCATCATTTGAATGGGTGAGTGCAGATGTGTTTTTCTTGTTTATTTGTTGGTTTTGGTTTTCAGAATCACATCCCTAGGATCCAAGCAGAGAACAGATAAGGTCCTGGGTAAGGACAGCTCATATGAAAATGGAGAAGAAGAGATAAACTTGAAAGGTGCTTGAGAGAGGGTAAAGAGAACCTGGTAGCTGGCTAACCGTGGGGCAGCCATGAAGAGCAGAATGGAAGAAGAGATGGTGCCACTGAGCTTGGGGTACACGGGTCTGTCTCTCAAGGGAGAGAATGATTCAAAAGCAATAAGGAGCTGATGAATGTTATTAAAAACATACTCCGTTATTTGACTGAAAAGTTCCCTTAAAAACATTCTATCCCATATGTTGATTTTCAGATATTTGTTTGTGATATCTTCAACAATAATTATTTAATAAGTTGTTTCAAAGTTAGTGGTTTACAGATTCTTTGGGCCCTTGGGAGCCAGAAAGCTGAGTAGGCAGAGCACGAAGCCCACCTCTGTGTCACGTCCCCTACAGCTCCTCTGCATTGATATCTTCTAACATTGGGCTCTCATTTGGAATCCAGAAATGGCCCTGGAGCTTTACAATCTTCACAATTACTCATGCGGTGTTTTATTAAGTGTAAATGTTTGGCTGTAGTTCTGTATTATGGAGTGTTTGTTCTTTTGTTTATTGTTTGTTTCTGTCTAGGAAGGTGGAGATCACATCAGGAAACTGACAGTCATAAATCTAGCATGTACGTCTGTTTTAAATCACAGATAAGATTGTTTTGCTTGCCAAAGTAAACATACAAGCATCTCAGGCCATGCCACAGCATAGAATAAAATTTGTGTCACCAAAACAGACCAGAGGGTCCCTTGTCACTGTTTTGCTGTGGATCTCAATGGTAAAAGAAGTAGAGAATGAACACAAGCCACAAATCAGCTGAGAATTAACACATGCCATTGTTTTTGAGCCTTCCAAATATTTTCCAACTCCCATTGTGTTTTTCGTGTTTTATACCCCAAACTCCTGCCAAAACCTCCTCCAGTGACATTCTTCTTGGGTTCCTAAGTCATCTGGACCACAAACAAGATTTCTCCTAGGTCATAAATCTCAAGGATGTATTTATAAGTGTTAAAAATGAGGAGATGACTACAATATATATTTTTACCATTTGGGGGTCAAAAAATTGATGTTTTAAAATGAGAATTTTGCTGAGTTTAGATGGTCTACTTTTGATTTGCACTTTTAGGATTGATTTCAACTGAATAAATACTCAGAACATATCTAAAATGAAAACTACACACCATCTGGCTTTGCTAAGTGTAGAAGTTAAGAAAAAGATGGATAGAGCAAAAGACTTCAGAAAGCCAGATAACATTAACTGAAAGTGCAGACACAGACAGAAAGCTCTTTTCCTGACATATACATATATTTCACTACCCATGGACAAATCACTCTTTAAAAAAACTCTGCCTTCATCTCTTTTGTCGAACACTTTGAATTTTCAGTGTGGGTTTTTTTCTGTTACTATAATTAAGTTATCTAACTAATAAGAAGATATTTTTTCCTTTCTTACATTTGTGCAAATTTCTAATTTATCTTTCACATTAACTAAATTTCCAAGCATTGAATAAAGATGACTAACATTATAATTTAAATCTGATTAGGTTAGTTCTATCCTGCAGCCAAAAGCAAACAAATAAACAAACAAAACAAAATATAAAAATCAAACCAAACCAAACCAAGAAAAAGCAGGCAAAGGGAGTGGAAAACATTGTTCTAAAAGTTAAGCTGATTTTTTTTCTTATTATTTAAAATATATATTCTACTTTATTGTTGATTTTTAAAGTTGAAGTATATTCTGTGATTTTGAAAAATTATGAAAAAATTTTTAGAGGAAAAGAAAACATATCTCTAACCACACTAATATTTTAAACTCCTTTGGTATGTACAGATTAAAATCTATTGTAATTGTGTGTGGGATCTTGATTATGTAGCTATGCATTATTTTAACACACTTTATGCAACATAAAGAACAATTGTTTAAAAGTGAGAATAATCATGCTCTTATTTTTGAAGTTATGTGTTCATTGATGCTACTGATGTCATAGAGGAATATTTTATCCTCTAAAAACCTTGTTTGTTGGTTCAGAATTTTGGCTAAGATTGTCAATCAACAGTTTCTCTAGATCCAATCTCTTATGCATGGAAACTGTCACAAATGAAAAACAAAACAATACCCACATGCCATGAACTTCAGGTTGATTCTTGTTTTGACAAATGTCTAAGATTATAACATCTAACTGATTGCATTTCCACAGGGAAACCATACAGGGAAACCATACAGGAAAATAACCCTAGGCTATGAAACTTATTGAAACTTTTGCTTTGGTTACCTTTACTTAGGATCCAGCTTAGCTCTGTGTTAAAACTATGTTTTATTTTTACTTTCTCAAATAATTCGTTACACTCGTAAGCTAATTAGCAGTCCATTTGAATTTCTTTAGTGTACACAGAAAGGACTGCTGGGTTGGGATGAATACAGAGTA